TGGTGTGAGGAGGAAATGAGAGCTTGTGGGCTGTCGTGGAGCCAGGTTGAAAAGATTTCAGAGAACAGAGTGGAATGTAGACGCACTACTGAAGCTTTATGTTCCACTAGGAACTCAAGGGACTAATAAATAAATAAATAAAATAATAATCATATCAATGTAACCATATAAGTTAAGACAACTAGTTTTTGTAGTCCTATCACCTTGTATTCTTTGTTTCTAGTAGTAGTGAAATTCTCTGTCTCTCTGGTATAGATGTTGCATCATTCCTAATACATGTATTGAGTGTTGATTGGATGAACAAAGATTCACTAATCAATCTCTTACTCCACCTAATTATATTGGATTTAATTACAGTAAATTTATCCCGCTCTATTGTATGATTGTCTGTTAATTCATGCATTGCAATAGCTGAGCTTCTTTTTAGATCAGCTATATCTAGCTGAATTTCTATATTCCACTGATCTAACTGACCCGACCGGCTTGTTTAACGTACATACTTGACTTTGCAGTCATTACATCGAATTTAGTAGACTAGACTATTTTTCTGAATTGATTCTATCGGATACTTAAGCCAGCCGACAAAGCTTATCTCTAAGTGAGTTTGTAGGTTTAAATGTAACCCTGATTCAAGCTTTGTTGAAAATCCTAAATAAGTTTCTAATGTTCCTTCCAATAAAGGCTGTGAACTCCTTTCTTCTGGAGTTGTCGCAACTATTCGTATTCGGGTTACTGTTTCTTATGTGTTTGTGCGAATTTCTCAATAAGCGGTAGAGGATAATTATTAATTATTAACGCTTCTTTTATGCACTTCAGTCCCTTGTTTAGGTCCTTACACTGATTAGTCATTGATCTAGCTCTATCATTTAGACATTTGGCTGAACCCACCTTGACTGACATTGGATGAGATGGCTTGAAGTCTAGATACCTGTTAGAATGTGTCATTTTCCTGTAGACTGTAGCATCCAAACCACCGTCTGTCCTTAGTTCAATTTTCCTTGTTTATTTTTTAACTCTTAAATCAGTTGGATTTGGCCTACTGCTGAGTTTATATGTATAAAAGGTTGTCGGTATGATCCTATTTCAACACAGTTAGTGTTATCCACAAATCACCAATATATCTTCGGTGAGGGATTAGAAGTTCGTAAGACCGTGCCTTTCCAACCACTGATAAATATATCTGCTACGATTGAGGATATTGGTGATCCCATTGCTACTCCTTCTGTTTTTCTGTATATTTTGTCCTGAAACTTGAGAACAGTGGAGATCAAGCACAACTGTATGCCTGATATGATCGCATCGATCGATACCTTAATTCTATGAGTAACTTCGAAATCAATATTTAGTTGCAATTCTTACTGTCTCCAGTGCCATATTCACTGGTATTTTAGTATAAAGGCTTGTGACGTCGAAACTAACCATTTCTCATCTTCTTCCATATCCTACATCCTATATGTACATTCAGCCACAGTTCCCAAGTTTTACACTTACGTCATTGAAACTTATGGTCTTCTTGTTCAAAGCCCAGTCAATAAACTCACACCGATTTTCAAGCTGAAGCACATTTTACCAACGAAAATGTTTCCAATATTCAAAATAAGTGCGTCTTGGATACTACATTATCCAAGTTCCTGTATGATAACCAACTAACAGTCCTTCTACATGAATAATTCCGTATTGTCAAGTAGTTAAAGAAGCATAGAAATATGAAGTCATTTTCTTCAGTAAAGTATATCACTCATTGTTATTCATGGAAAATTTCAGGATCACCTCAAGACCCTCCTCTTACCAGAAGATACAGACTAGTTTTGAATCCTACACAACAAAAGCAGTTAGGATGGGTAAGAAGGTATTAAGACAACTACTGAGTTGGTAATTGATGCAGATCACACTGTGATAGGTTTAGTGTGTACCACAGAACGGATTTTTCTCATGGATTTTATGTCGAGTACTCGGAATTGGAATAAGCACATTTTTTCTTGCATCACTCATCTTGAATTATTCGATGCAATGAAATGAGAAATTCATAAACATCGAAAACATCTCATCAGCTAGATGTACCTACCTCCTAATGAGCAATATTCCCCCCAATAGGACTGGAGCTTGGTGGGAGCAAGAGTTGTGCAACAGTGATTGCAAAAATCAGTCCACAACACCACCAGTTCATTTTGATTATCACAATGTTTCTTAGTCTTCTAGCATAAACATAAGAAGAAATCAAGTTTGCAAAAATGCTGTTGTCATTTTATCATGAATATCAGTAAGGAATCAATCAATAAATCTTCACAAACCTCCAAAATGAAAACTGATTTGCGTGAACCAGAGTTTACCCAGTCAGCATAAAGCTTATTCGTCTTCAGAACACGGGTCAAATGGAAGGATTTGTGGGTCAGAACAGTGGGAGGAAAGAGAACGGAGCCAATCGTTCTAAACGGAAAATTTCTAGTCAACCAAATATTGTTTTTCCTTCATAGATACACTACTAACTATGTGCCAGTAGCCTGAAACTTCTAGTGGATAAAGTTTGCACTTCGGGTCATGCATACATCGCGTCTGCGCTTGACAGCACTAAAATCGAAGTTAAAGAAACCTATTTTCTGACCTCTTCCTTCCACTGTTAGCTACTATCCATCTCAAATATGTTGCAGAAACATAAGCAATATCGAGGCAGATGCACAGCATCTCACATGCCAATAGAAACCGACTAACTCGGTCGTCTCAACGAGGGGATAATACAAGCAACAACATTATAGAAAACACAGTTGTAAAAGCAACAATGATTGCAAAAGTCATCCACAACACCACCAGTTCATCCTGATTATCACAATGTTTCCTAATCTTCTAACATAAACATAAGAAGAAATCAGGTTTGCGAAGATGTAGACGAATTCAAATATGATTACCTTCCTAACTGTTTATCATTTTTTATATTCCATTTGTCATCCAGTAGCCGGGTTATTCTGAAAACCTGTCCAAATGTTTCTCAACTCCAATCATTTAGTACTTTCCCGACATTATAAACATTCCCATTCTTCTGTATTTAAACGCCTCTCGATGCTATACACAAAAGGCCAATTGTTGTACTGTGTTCCTTTAGTAAAATTTACTATTGGAATTGATGGAAGTGAATAACGTCCCATAATAGCAATGGATTCGATTTAAGAAGTTGCTTTCATTACACGTGTTACAAATACTTCTGTGTACATTGGAAGTAGTAAGCAGTAGACGAAGCAATAGTCCTTTTGAAGAATATACTTGAAGACGAAAGACAATTCCGTCTACAATATTCTCTTCTAGACGAATCATTTCACCAGCCTCAACGAGAATAGATATTCATCAGTGGTTACTGAGTTGTCAAATCAGTCTCCTCAGGTAACCATCATGTCTTCCTCTCAACGAAACATTCGAGCAGTGAAATTTTAAGTCATTTTCTGTTTTCCTAAAAACGACTTTCCTCTATGATTGATTGACATGGAACATGAGACTTAAGCAACACGTCAATCGAATCTCTACGTCAACAAACAGAACACGATTTATAAATATTGAAACTAAGATGGAAACAGTGACAGAGGTACCCCAGAATTGATTGTGTGAAACACTAAGGAAGACCTAGTTTTTATTAACTGAACACTGAATTGCTTTCTCCACTTAACAAGTGATTTGTGGGTATGTGAAATATGAACTAACACTTTGGACAATTTCCATGTATGTCTACGGGTTAGATAGAGGCTATAAAACACACATCAAACGACTCTCTTGCATGACCAACTGGAGGAGAGTATAAAACGACCAGTAGCTGAATTCAGTGAAAACTTGGCTGGAACTATCGATTATCTAGGACCTTAATATGTGCTTTATTGATCTCATAGCATTTTTTGTAACTGGTAGATAGTAAGACATTGGTGGATATCCACTTCATTCAGAAATCTGTGAATGAGGTGTGAAGTGTTTTGCATTATCATTGACTTATTATTCTCACACCATGTCACTACTATCTAAGTCATATTCAACTTTGTTGTAGTTGTTAAAATAGGACGATTTAACGCCCCATGGAAGTGTTTATCACGTGTGACATTTCTAAAGCCAGATTCGTTAAAACTCTCATTGCGTGTGCTCAAGATATATGGAGACATTTTCGTTCTACGGATATACATCCATCAAACATCCAAACATTTACATACTTCAGTATATTTTGATGAAGAAATGAGATTCATCCACACGGTCCTTACCCATCTTCCTTCATTTGTGAATTATTTGGAAAATCTCGTTCTATTACCTGCACTAAATCGCTTAACATTTTGTCGTATGCATTCACCGAACAAAATAATTGATATCTGAACTGTGCATTATATTAGCTGATATGTTAGGTTACCTGAAATTTTATCTTGTCAATTGCGATCAACTATAGCCTTGGGACTGTGTAAAAATCAATGAAGAGACTTGGCTGCTAATGCATCTATGTCATGCATGATTGACCTCCTGTCGGACTGGACTGGACTGGACACAAACTGGAGATTGTAAAATGGTGACATCTGACGATTGAATCGTGAAATAATCGATAAGATCTGATCAACACACATACATGTACTGGAATATATACATGTATATGAGGTCGATGTGAGACACAAGGCCTAGTGAAATTCGATTGACATCGGTAGTGTTCCCTTGAAAGGAGAAGATGTCTACTCAGCCTACTGTCTCACACCTCTGTTATCCACTCAATAAGATATCTGCATATGGGAGTTCTCAATCTACTAATGGCTTTTAAGCACATCACTCATGGCAGATAATCGTCTAGTTTTGTTTCTGTGAATACAAATCTTATAAGCATGAGAAAGATGAATAGATTCTTTAAAATATCATACTAATTTGTGAGGAATTTAAAAAGGAAATGATAAAAATATTGCTACATTCTATTTCTTTGTAACAAACACATCGTATTATGACAAGTAAAAATGGAATCAATGTCACTGTTTGTTATATCATCATGCTTGTAGCACTTATATCACGTTGTCTACTGTCTCATCCATCTGAAATCTTTGTTTTCTCCAATCGGGAACTGTGCCCAGTTGACGGTATTCATGATTTCGATCGATCTCACTATTCTCATGATGATCTATTACATCTGAAATATTGTAGAAGGAAGACGATAGTGGCAGGTTAATTCAGTTCACTGGAAACCTTCACTCGAATTATAAGATTCGCCTACTGATGGAATAAACTACCACTATTGATAACCAGCATAGTCTACAATGAGTGGAATAAGAAAACGATGACACCATGAGTTGACTCCAAGAACATGAGAGCTATAATGGTAATGAGGCAAGTTGTGAGTGAGAATGTGCCAAATTCTGATAAGTTTGTGTCTTACTATTGAAGTGACACTTCTTAGATCAGCTTAACAGCAATTTAAATAAGCGATTGGCTTTCTTTCTTCCTACTTGAGGGAAGGCTTTTACGCGAATACTCAGGTGCAATCGGTTATTTCAGCTGTTGGTAATGTGTCGATATAGTCACTTCATTGTTGGAGGTTTAAAAGTGAGTGATGAAGTGGTTGCAGGAGAGTTAAGGTGTTGATCAAGCCAAACTGCCGAGGAAATGATGTTTCCAAGCATTTATGAAGGGAACTTGCAAATATACTCTATTGTTCAATTTATTTCGTGAATCAAGTAAGATCATGTAACGTAGGTATAACAAAGTGATTAGATGGATAGAGGGTATGTGAAAGAGTGTTGTGATAGTGTTGACCATCTGTGTATGGAAAACAGTAAATAACACCACGTTCTTAAGTATGTTCCAACCCAGGTACTTAAAACTGCTCATTGGAAATAAGTAGTCTAGCTGAATTTTCCAGTAGCTTCCTCTGGATATTTTGGGAATACCATTCCATGACTACAGTTTGTATTCAGCTTATGTGATGTGGAATACAGTGGTATCTGTGACGACTAAGTGAAAATATTAGTAAATATCTTCTTAATCACAGTCAGTTAAAATAAATCAGCTCTCCACCTTAGAAGTATTTGATGATATGAAAAGTTGAGTTGAACCTAGTCTTAACAGCACCATCACTTTCAGCTTCAGACCTCTCAAGACTCAGTATTGCTTAATCAGGTGAGGCTGTTCAAGAAAATTACACTCTCAATTTGAAATGAAAAATGCAACCATAAGGATATAGAGATTTAACACCTATAGTGTTTGACGTACTTGCAGAGTAAAGGCACAACGTACATATAGTCAGCTTATATCACGTAGGTTGATGGTAGTAACATACTGAGTTGCCACTCAAGTGTGCTGATCGAATCCTACCAATCATTTTGCAATTTGGTCAGCAAGTTAGGAGACTAGCCACTTATGTAGTGCAGTATGAGAAATGTTAGTTGGTTGTAGGCAATCGGCAGAAAACAATGTACAGAGGTTTCACACCTTTTACCAGCTGTTAGCTAAGCGTATCTGCAACCTAGATGAGACACATGTCTCCTGTGAGATTCACACCCCAAGTCAATCATTCTAGCAGTCAGTGATGTTATCACTGAGCTATTCGAGGCATGACTGATTCCTGTAGGACTGGATTACATACACCGATTGGTCACAGTTCAAAAAGCTGACTACAATAATGAGTAACGTGGGTTTGAATCATCTAGTGAACGTCAGTTCTCTGGTGGTTGCACATACGCCATGCTGACAACTGCTAACAAACACGAAACATGTATCCAGGCCTTACTGCTAACTGTCTTCAACCAGGTAACACACAACTATCATTCTCACTTAATTATCTATGTCATCGGCCATAATGCTCAATGAGAAGGTAATTAAACCTGGAAATAAATATACACCATAAGGGCTATTAGAAATCATTTACGACATAGATGAATGAAGGCAGAAAGAAAATATGTTCAGAGTGTGAATTTATAAAGATGAACGAGAAATTACAAGCATCGATAAATACTAACTAATATCATTTGCATACGTGTTGGTACTTGTGACTCAAAAGCCTGATGGATAACATTCTGTTGTTGGAAAGGATAGTTAGTGACTGTAATTCACAGTAGGAGCATCTTTCACTAGAATGCAGATACATCCAACTGACTAGTCACAATCAGGTTGAATTGTCAGTCTACTATTCCAATGTTAGCCATCACAGTGAAAATTGAATTACAGATAACTTCTAATTCCACATGCAATTGTGTATTAATCGGTTGATATAAAATTAATGACTGTGAACAGAAAGTATATCATGTAGACAGAAATTGAAACTCACTCATAGGAGGATTATGTCTAAGATTTTTCAAATTTCTCTTTGATATATAGTTCAAATGATAAGGGTTACGAATTTCCATCTTCTGTCTACTCTGGTATTCATTCTTCATCGTTGAGACTAAAATTGAACATTGAAAGTATGAATAACAAAACAAAATAGGGAGAGTTGAATTCACTTACGAACAATATTCTGTTTAACGTAGAAAACGTTTGACTTACTCCTGCTCAAAATAACAGTCTCGTAGCTAACCTGTAAAGTTGATTACTTAGTACTCAATTGAATTCAGATGTGCAAACTGTCTTTCTCAGTGGTTGAGATAAGCTGAGTTTTACACGTCACTTACAGTGTGATGTCACTGAGTCGTTCAAATCTCATGAGTTGGCTGATCATATCAATCAGTTTGTTTAGTATCATCGTTTATTCTTAAGACCTTGGTAAAACTGTCATCAATCCTTGTATGACTGTACACTTTTAGAAAAGGCCGAAAAATGGAACTTTTTCAACTTACTTCGTGATTCAACCATCTTTGAATGTAGACCGATGGTCAACACTACATAAAAGAAGGCTGAAGACAATGTGAATTGAATCTTATAGCTGAACTGAAATGTCAAAACATAAAATTGTCTACCATGAAGTTTACCATATTTCTAAGGCGAGATTGAAGTGAATCACGATTGTAAAATTGTTTCTTTGTTTCATTCATCATCTTTTATACATAGAAGTGTAATATTTCTGTGTCTTATTATTGTGTCACTGAGTACACTGGGTGACGTAGTGAATCTTTCAATCACTAAAGTGTGTGAAATCCATAGAGTTTCACAATTGTCTAGATATGATGAAGATAATAGGTTCAATGGCTTATGTGATGATACTTCTGAAACTAAGTTAACTGTGTGAACATAGATTAATACACTTCATCTGCCTACTCTCTGTTTCTGTTCTTACTACACACCAAACTTTCTATCTGTTAGTTTAACTAAAGTGATAGTTCAGGAGTCTTCTCACCTAGATGCATTTCATTGCTGTTAGGTTGAAACAGAATGTTGAGATAGTGGTTAACTGAAGTCAAGACTTGTTCTGAACGTTTTCTCAGTGAGCAGAGATTATTTGACTTCGAAGAGGTAAACTTAGTTATGAGTGTTCATTCCGCGAACCGCAGTTGAGTATGATATAATAGTATTGTTTAGTTGTCACACTGCTTGACTGCTGCACGCGCCAACAGGTAAAATGACCAAGAATTCAGTGCTGTGAGAATTTTGTTCTAAGATCTGCAGTGAGTGACCAGTTTACTTTCTTCATCTTTTGGGAAATGATCTTCCAATACTGCAGAAACGCATCTACTTCCAACTGACAAGTGCGAACTAGGACAAAACCTGTGTGCTGGATTCCACAGCTGGTCACTATCGATCATTACTGTAAACCACAGGCAATATAGACTGATAAATTTGGTTCAGTCAATGACAGGAATATACAGCAACAACAAAGGATTGGCATTCGTCATACAGATAGTGGCCCTGGTGATTCAGTGGTCTGGTGGATATCTCTCTGGAATTTGAAACGATCATTTTTCGACTCCAATCTTATCAGAAACAAAATCAATCATTTCGGATGCATAAATATCAAGCTGACGGGTTCCAGATAGGACGAAAGGCGCACCCTGGATTCAACTGATAGCCACCATCCATAATTAATATCAAACTACATTTGCGTTTGACAATTTATGAGCACAGCATTTTTCACGTTTCATAAAATAAAACAGTTGAGCAATCGGTCTGTGGATAGTGAAGTGAAATACGGCCATCTTTCCAAACTGTTAGAGTGTATTAATTATATCGACGTGAATCTCACCTTCTCCGACATAATCTCATTTCAACATTTCACACGGAAAATCTGTTCCGATCATCTTCAAAGAGAGATAATCAAACTTCTAGTCATATTACAGGAGATTGGAGAATAAAAGTGACTTTAGTAGCCAACTTGGCAACTGATTATTAGATAGTCAATAGCGTTTCCTGCCTTCATTCGTACGATTCTATAATAGAAGCCCATGCGAAGGGTGATATGGATGTAGTTACACTTACAGATAGCTCCATATCACCTCCAGATTATTTGCATGGAGGCTTGTGGAAGGATTTATGAATTAGAGACTGAAAATTTAAAATTAAGCATTAGGGTGAAGAAGCTGGACATTGGCTCTTGACTTCTAGATTTAAGAGGACAAAAATTTCAGTTCAAGTCATAAAATAGCGAAAAAACAGCAACTAGGTTCTCTTTGTTACTGCTAACTGTGAGTACAGGACCTATCTGCTACTTATATTCTGTTGTATCTTTCCACTGACACTATAGACTGCTTTGAACTAGGAATAACGTTAGAAGAGCTGTGGCATGCCACCTTAAACAAAAGCAACAGCCAATGTGACCATCTTAACGACAGGTTTGACACAATGATTCTAATTTTTATATTGAACGATTGACACTGGAAATAGTTTCTCTGGGAGTCAGGAATGTGTACTATTGGTGAGTCTCAAATAGGAGAGAATAGCATCTCAAGTCCTTCAGCTTTTGATTAACTCTCCAACTGATATCAACCTACATTAGAATCTACCTGGAAATTTTGAAAAAGACGTAGCAGAAAGGAAATTAAGTAAGTGTGAGCATGTCTCCTAATTTAGGTACATTAGCAGAACGAAACAAAGAATAAATCATACACTTTTAAGATATATTTTGAAAAAGATAAACATTTTTACGACAACAGTCGTCTGTCAACTGATCGATACCGGATATGAAGTGCACATGCTAAATTCTTTCAAGATACCAAACAAAATATGATGTAGAAAACACTCACAGTTTGATCAACAACACTTTCAATGACAATAAATTCAAAATGGAGTAGGAGTTGAACAACCAACCACCATTCCTGGATGTTTTAGTCAGTAGGACAAATGCAGGAAACCTGGAAACCCAAGTGTATAGGAAGCCAACACACACTGATCAAATCCTCAACTACACTAGCAACAATCTAACAACGCATAAGATAAGCTGCAGGCAGACTCTATTCAAAAGAGCGAGAACACACTGCAGTACAACAACTTTATGAGGAAAGGAAGAAAATTACTTGATGTCCATACTAAAGAAGAACGGCTACCAACGAAACTTTATTACAAGTTGCCTATCCCCGTATATCATCAAATAAAAAGTCATCGACAAAAATCAATAAACGCATCATCCTACCATACATCAAGAAAATATCAGAAATCACGACAACATTACTGAAACCACTCGGAATGGGTGTGGTTCACAAACCAATAAATTCCCTCCAAACACTATTATGCAGACTAAGGGATGCAACAACCAAAGAAGACAAACCGAGTATCATTTACAAATCAGCTGCAACAACTGTAGTTAACACTATATTGGATAAAGTGGTCAACCTCTTCGCCTTCGTTTACATAAACATCAATTGGCTATTAAACGTCATGACATTTCATCACTCATTTCAATGCACGTGGATAACAACTATGGACATGAATTCAGTCTCGACAATGTAGAAATTTTGGACAGAGGAAACGCAAAGAATATCAGAGAATTCCTAGAAGCTTAGCATTCAGGTCAGCCAGTCAGCAATCAATAGATGTATAGACACAGACCCAGTCTATCAACCAATGGGGAAAATGATAAACGACAGAAAGGTGAGAGGTCAGGTAGAGGAACAGCCAACGGGAAAAGCTATACAGTCAATGACATAACAGCCAAAAGTAACAATGAATTACAAACCAGCTTGTCAGAGCAAGCTACTGGATTACTCACGGAGAGATAGTGACAACTCACTTCATATTCAAATTGGTGGTGATGACGTCATCTAGCAAGACGATGATAGCGCCGCGATTAAACAACCCAGCTCAGAGAACATAAGACAACCAAGAGCTCCCAAGAAAGCTATCACCAATCTCTTTCTACTTTTGTAAGATAGTTTCTGAAGCTTTTTTTCAAACATCTTTGTCACATCAGATTTGGCTCTTTTTCTGTTATATCATGTTTCATTGAACACTGTATGCATCAGACTGACTTTGAACTAATTAAGTTTAGCTCTTTTCATTTTCACACATATTATCTCTTCGTCAACTGGCTTATGTAATATAACCTCCTCAGTCTCGCGATAGTCTTGCAGTTACTGCTGCTCTTTCAGAAAGAATTCTTAACTGTAGAATCTTCCAAGCGTTTTTGCTTTTTCATACTGATCTACCATGTCACCTTTTACTACTGATCTAAATCATTTACAGTGAACTAGAGTGTGTTAAAAGTTCAATTATTTTCTTTATGCTTTATGTGGTTATGGCTAGCAGAGAAGTCCAGGACATGCGTTTCGTCCTGTTTAGGACTCGTCAGCTGCATATGCCTGCACCCCTGTGAGTGATGTTGCTCCCAATGGGACCAACTGGGACTCGTACCCATCGCTTCAAACGCCAAAGCGTCATCCACTAGGCCACTGAGGTACAATAGCCACCTTTTGTACAACGGGTATTAATTATCACTAGTAGTTAATATGTTTATAGTGCTTGTAGCGCATTTCAATAGAGAGTGATCTGTTCTTTATGTTTCGATACTGTAGGTGGGATTAGCTGAAACGAAACCTGCGAAATGGAAGGTGATCATGTTATTCTCCTCAAACTGTGATTCTTGCTTATTTCAAAGATCCATGTGAAATCTATGCGCGTTCACTAAGGTAGTAAGTTTCAGTACTGTGATGTATAATGAATGGCCTTAATGTCATGAAGTTAGGTTGTTTCCTAAACAGTACTACACACTATTTTAGCAAGAGAAGTAATATCTACCACTTCAAATTAGTCGATTGTTTTCGTTCATTGAACAGCATGTTTAATATATTGCCTGAAGTACCGCACTAGAAAGTCACCGAGCAGCTTTATGATCATTTTTTTATTCAAGAATAATGTGAAAATGCGTAACAATAATTTTTTAGTTTCTAGATACTGCTTATCAGCCACTGAATCTATTGAGTGCAGGTTTATCGATTTTGAATGGCACACCTGTTCGAGATAAGGAAGTCACACTCGACGGCAAATATGGAAAAATTGAAGTCCAGTTGTCGTA